TTCCTAACATGCTCATCAGGATGGATGGTGAAGAGATTGAGATTGTTCACAGCTTCAGTTTGCTTGGCTCCACAGTCCCCAGTAGCCATGAAATAAAAAAACTTATTGCGATGGGAAAGTCTGCTGTTAGGGACCTCTCTAAAGTACTCAAGAGCAACGGTGTCTCTCTGGAGACTAAGGTGCGCCTGATACAGGCCATGGTTTTTGCACTCACTTGTTATGCATCAGAGAGTTGGACAATGACTAGGGAGAATAGAAGGAGAATTGACGCCTTTGAGCTGTGGTGCTGGAGAAGAGTACTGAATGTACCATGACTGCCAAGAAAACAAATAGTTTCATCCTAGAGAGGGTTAAACCAGGCTGCTCCTTGGAGGCAAGGATTCTGGGGCTTCGTCTGACATACTTTGGACATGTTGTAAGGAGAGACAGGTCTTTGGAGAGGGACATCATGCTGGGCAGAGTGGAGGGACGGCGCAGGAGGGGAAGACCCTCTATGAGGTGGATTGATTCAGTGACTGGGGTAATCGGGATGGGTATGTCAGAGGCAATGAGATTGGCACAGGATAGAGCAGGGTTTAGGGCTGTTGTACATAGGGTCGTTATGAGTCGCAAACGACTCGACAGCACATAACAACAACAACAAACAACATGCTCAAAGTGTGTGAAATGAAACTTAGCCATTCTTGCCTCCAGGGAGCATTCTGGCTGTACTTTCTCAAAGACATATCTATTTGTTCTTTTGGCCATCATGAGATGTTCAGTACTCTTCTCCATCACCACAGATCAAAGGTATTAATTCTTCATCTCTTATCCTTGTTCATTGTCCAGCTCTCATATGTATAGCAAGTGATTGAAGAGATCATGATCTGAATCAAACATACCTTAATCTTCATACAGACATCATTTCTCAGTAATTTGGAGAGCTCCTTGACAGCAGACTTTTCCAGTGCAATATGTCTCCTGATCTCCTAGCTGCTGGTTGATTGTGGATCCATATATGATGAAATGATGGAAAACTGCAGTCTTTTCTCCATTTGTCATGATGTTACCTATCAGTCTAGTAGTGAGGATCTTTGTTTTCTTGATATTGAGATGTAATCCATAGTGAAGGCTGTAGGGGTGGGGTTCTTTTTTGTTTGTTTTTGTTTTTTAACAAGTGTTTCAAGTCCCTCTAACTTTCAGCCTGCAAAGTTGTGTCATCTACATAACATAGGTTATCGGTGAGGCTTCCTCCAATCCTGAGACCACGTTTTTCATAGAAACCAGATTCTTAAAGGATTTGCCCAACATACAGATTGAATAAATATAAAGGATACAACCATGATGCACGCATTTCTCTTTTTTTATTTTATTGTTTGTGTGCGTGTACTGTCAAATCGGATCTGACTGGTAACAGGAGGAGATTGTCCCTTCTTCTTCGGCAGAGCATCTGGTGGATTCGAACCAAGCACCTCTGGGATTGCAGTGCAGTTTCTTGCCACTAGGCCACCAGAGCTCCCTGCACACCTTTCTAATTTTAAACCATACTGTATTCCCTTGCTCTGTTCAGACAGTAGTTTCTTGGTCAAAGTATATGTTTCATATGAACATGAATAGATTCTAAGATTCCTGTTCCTCTCAATATTAGCTACAATTTGTTACACTTCACACATCTGTCATTAGCAGTGATATCCCTAATACCACGATCTTTTCTAAACCTAGCTTGAATTTATGACAGTTCTCTGTCAATGTACTGGTTTAACTGGTTTTGGGTGATCTTCAGTAATATTTTGCTTCCATGTGATAGTAATGATATAGTTTGATAATTTCCACATTCTGCCGGATCACCTTTCTTGGGAATGGGAACAAATATGGATCTCTTCCAGTCAGTTGGCCAGGCAACTGCCCTCTAAACTTCCTGGTATAGTCTGGTGAGCATGTCCAGGGCTGCATCTATTAGTTGAAACATTTCAACTGGTATCACATCAATTCCTGGGGCCTTAATCCTTTTTTTCCCCCCAATACCTTCAGTACAGCTTGAACTTCCTTCATTACCTTTGGTTCTTGATCATTATGGTGTTCTTTGTTGTTGTTGTTGTTGTTATGTGCTGTCAGGTCACCTGCAACCATTGCAACCTTATGTCCAGCAGCTCTGAACCCTGCCCTGTCCTGAGACAGTCTCACTAATTCTGCCACACCAACCCCTATTGCCCTAGTTACTGTACCAATCCATCTCATCCAGGGTCTTTCTCTCCTGAACTGTCCCTCCATCCTTCTGAACATGATGTCCTTCTCCAAGAACCAGTCTCTCCTGGTCATGTTCCCAAAGTATGTGAGACAGAGCTTCAAAATCCTAGCCTCTAAGGACAAACTTGGTTTCACCCTCTCCAAGACAGACCTATTTGTTTTCTTGGCATTCTGTGGTATCTTCAAGACTCTTCTCCAGCACCACAATTTGAGGGCATCAATTCTTCTTCTGTCGTCATCCTTAGTCATTGTCTGGCTTCTGAAACATAACAAGTAATTGTGAAGGCCATGGTCTGGATTAGGCACACCTTAGTCTCTAGACTGTCATCATTGCTTTTCAACACTCTGGATAGGTCTCTGACAGCAGATTTTCCCAATGTAATTTGTCTTTTGACTTCCTGACTGCTGGTGTTAAAGAGTGTTGATTATAGAGCTGTAATTATTAACAACCTCAATCTCTTCTCCATCTGTCATGGTGCTGCCAGTTGGCCCGATGGTGAGAATCTTTGTCTTCTTGATGTTGAGCTTCAATCCATATTGAAGACCATATCCTTGACCTTCCACAGCAAGCGCTTCAGGTCTTCTTACTTCCTGAAATATTTCCTTGTAGACTATCTTTTATACAGTGACTTTGTATTTTCCTTCCATCTTCTTTTCTTTCTGGATCATTCAAAATTTTTCCCATAGAACCTCTCAGTATTGCAACTCAAGGTTTGAATTTGTTTTTCAGTAGTTTCAGCTGAGAAATGCTGAGCAAGCTCTTTCCTTTTTATTCTCCAATCCCAGCTCTTCGCACATTTTGTTATAATACTTCACTTTGTCTTCTCCAGCTGCCCTTTGAAGTCTTCTGTTCAACTCTTTTACTCAACATCTCTTCCCTTTGTTGCATCTTCTCAACACTCTAATGCAATTTTCAGGATCCCTTCTTACTTCAGTTTTGGTTTTTTTCTTTCTCTTCTGTCTTTGTAATGACCTTGTGCTCTCTTCATGGATGATAACCTTGACGTCATCTCACAACTCACTTGGTCTTTGATCATTGCTGTTCAATGTCTCAAACCCTATTCTTAAGATAACTTTGGTGGTTCAGTGAGCTAAGGTTTATCTGGAATGGTCAGACTGGGCCAGGTTCATATTCTCAAATAAGGCCATCAAGATTCTGCCTCTCTTCTTTTCTAGTTTAGCAATCCCAGCACAAAGTGTTATCTTTCCCAATAGCCTGTGCATAAAAGCCTGGGGGTGGTCTTTGGTTCGCTTAGATTTGGTCATCATCCTTGAATTGCATCTAGGACTTTGGAGATCTTAAGAGCCACGCCTAGGTCACATATCCATCCCTGTGTTTAGGGGAGACCTCCAGTTAGACCACATAGGCTGGGTAGGCTGTCCACAAAAAAGGAGCCCATGGATGGTGCAAGTGGATAGCACACACTGCTGCTAATTGCAAGGTGGAAGGTTTGAATTCACTCAGAGACACACAAGAAAAAGAACTTATGGAAAAATCAGCCATTGTAAGCCTGGTGCAGTTCTGCTCTTGATACGTACGGAGACGGCATAAATTGGAATCAACTCAACACCACTAATTATGCAGAAAAGAGGGGATTCTATTACTAAGAGAAGGAGAAACAAGATGCTGTTGTTAGGTGCTGTTGAGCAGACTCTGATCTGTCATGACCCCGTGTAACAGAACTGCCTTGTAGGGGTCTCTTGGCTGTAAACTTTACAAGAGCGAATCACTGAATCTTTTCCCCACTGAGTGGGGAATTCAAACCCTCAACTTTTCAATTAGCAGCCAAGCACTTAGAGAGCTTACCCACTGCACCACCACGGCTCCAAGATAGAAAACAATAGACTTTCCAGATGGCAAATGAGGGGACGGGGCTGGTAGTTTAATGGTCCCTCCAACTGTGTTCATTTATTTGAACAAATTAATTTTAAAGTAATCATTTGTAAAAAAAACCCAGATGGATTGACACAGTTACTGCAGCAGTGGGCTTGGGCATAATGAGACTGTGAAGAGGTGCAGGATAGGGCAAGGATAATGGGTTATTGTAGTTGGCTCGATGACACCTAACAACAGTACTTATAAAATGGAAATCATTGAAGATAAGGACATCGATAAAAATAGGGATGCTACTAATAGTCCTTAGCTCTTATGGTTGGTAGTTGTGGTGAGGCCTACAATTAATTGTTACACGTAAAGAACCTAGGGAGCTCTGGTGGCCTGGTGGTAAGAAATTGCACTGCACTCCCAAAGGTATAAGGTTCATAACCACCAGATGCTCTGCAGGAGGATGGGCATTCTCTTCCTGTGTGATTAACTGTCTCTGAAAACCCGCTGGAGGGTCAGCTATGGGTTGGTTCTGACTTGATGATACTCAACAACGAAAATACTTAGTAGAGGGCCTATCACATAGAACCAGAACTCAAACCCATTTCTGTTGAGTTGGTCCTGACTCATGGTAACCCTGCATATGTTACAGCGTAGAACTACACCAAACGGTTTTCTGAGCTGTAATCATTAGGATTTCTTAGCTGTAAATCATCATGTAATCTATGAAAGTTAGTTGACAAACCTTTCTTCTGTGGTGCCATTGGATAAATTCAAACTGCCATCACAACCCTTTTGCCATTCGGGGACCGTAGTACATAGTCAGAAGTCAAAGTCATTGCTGTCGAGTTGGAAGTGACCCTTGAAGACATTTCCTTTCACTTTGCGAGGTGGACAGAGGCTGCACAGCGCTGATTTCCCCTTTTCTGTCTCTTGCAGGCAGAGCAGCATGGATGCCGTCAGCCAGGCCCCTGTGGACGTCATGCTCCCCAAGCACATCCTGGACGTCTGGGTCATTGTCCTCATCATCTTGGCCACAGTTGTCGTCATGACTTCCTTGCTGCTGTGCCCGGCCACTGCTGTCATCATCTATCGTATGCGGACTCACCCTGTCCTCAATGGGGCTGTCTGAGAACCTCCTGAGAGCGCGAGGTGAAGGATGGGGACAGCACCTCTCTCTCTTGGACTCTTCTCTTCTCGGAGAAGCAGCAGGAGGGACTTGAGAGGCGGGTGTGTGAGAGGAGACCTGGTGCTGTCAACTGGCAGATGTGTGCACTTGGTCAAGTTACCCAACTCTGAGTCCCAGGTTCCTTATCTTTAAACAAAGTATGAGGATCCTTGGTCTTCCTACCTCGTGGTGGGTGAGAACCAGATGACTTTCGTGGAGGTGAAAGCTGTTTGTGAGCAGTCAAAAGCCCATGCATGTACTGATGGAGCAGAGCGGGTGTTGCTGAGATGGAAAAGCCTTTGCCAGTGGCCCTCAGATCAAACCAAGCAAAAGTCACTCTGCTTGCATTCTTAAGGAGGCAATAGCACATAAACTCAAAGTTCTTTTCTTTGAGATACCCGTTCTCCTTTTTTTCTCAGATGGGAAGGACTTGAGCGTGACGGGGAGGGGGAGATAGGACATGGAAGGAACTCCCTGAACCTCCTCTGTGCTTGAACCTCTGCCCCTGTAGAGCCTGAAGGAGGCTCAACCGTTTCTTCTCGACGCTGAGAGGGCTGAGGGCATGGGCGGACGTGGTTTCTTCCTTCTGCACTGTAGTGTCACCTCCTTTTTCCTTTGACATTCTAGCAGTGTTGGAAAACGCAGGAGATTGAGTTCCCTGCCCAGGTTTTGGGATCTCTAGTCCTCATCTCTGTATCCCCCACACCATGGAACTCTGTCCTCCTGTCTCAGCATTTGTTCGAATTAGCTCGATTTTATCTTGTGTCTTCCTTTTATCCCTTCCTGCCTACACTCCCACCAATACAACATGCACACCTATAGTTTAAGTTCCTGGGACTTGGGAACCAAATCAAAATAATGATGGGTATTTTAGACGACTGGTTTTATATAGAGCATGGAATTTCTGAGCAGTGAAGCGTGTTATTACCAAAACAAGAACATCCTGAGATTTATGTAATTATATAAAAAGACAGCACAAAAACAAGGATGCTATTGTGTGGAAACAATGCTTTCATCTGATTTCATTGATGTACAAACCAGTTTCTAATAAAGTATTAGAATGAACATGTCTGAGGCCATTCTTTCCCTCCCCCCACCACAGGAAAATATTTTAATTTTAGTTTCTGATACCAATTTACTTCATTTCCTCATGCATATCCCATAACCTACACCCGAACTGAAGTTTTATGATTAGTCAAATAATGAACTCGAATGTCTCAACTTTTAAAATTCTATGCTTCTGCCTTTATCTAAGTATGCAATGTATAGTTTCAATTCTATAATCAAGGATAAACATTTCATCCCCAAAAAGCAATGCATAAATTGATCTTGAAATATTGAAACAAGTTTTGGTAACTATAATAATGTTCTAAATTACCTGAATATGATAGAGCACAGAAATTAAAACAATATTTTATAAGATTTTTTTCCCTCCTCGCTTATTAGCTACATTTAAGTAGTTATAGATTTTACTTTTTAGAGCAATAATAGATTTACAGAAAAAAATTGCACATAAATTACTGGGACGGCTTTTGATTTACAGGTGATAGCAGATAATAAAGACTTAACTGTGTAAACATGTTATACATCGGGCAAGAAATATCCGTGTTTGGTTAGAGATATAAATGGTGCAATTGCTTAAGTTAAATATTTCCTAAAGACACTTCTCTGAACAAGTCCATTAACTGCCTTGGGGGTCATTTGTTAGAGTTACAGGTAGTTAACAACAGCATTCAACTTCTAAAAGCATATCTGGAATACACCTTGAGAAAAGAAAAAAAGAAGATTTCTAGTTATGGACTCCTTTATTACAACCACCTGATTTTAATCAACTTAATTGGATAATGCTGTTCTGTTCTGGGTGACCAGGATGTTAGCATTCCCAATGAATGGAGCTTGCTATTTCCTTTGGATTTCCTTTGCTCTCATTTCTCTGCCAGCTAAGCAAGTAACAGAAGGCTTCCAATGTGACAATGGAGTCTTCTTGCCTCCTGACAACGTGTGTGACTTCACCAACCAGTGTGGGGATAACAGCGATGAACAACAGTGTAGGTGCCATTACTCTGCTTTGTCTGATTTCACTTCCTTGTGTCTCTTTCTTAAAACCAGGGCCCCTAGCCCTGAGAGAGATGCAAATCAAGACAACCATGAGATATCATCTCACTTCAGTAAGACTAGCAAAATTTAACAGAACACCAAGCAACAAATGATGGCGAGGTTGTGGAGAGACTGGAACCCTTATTCACTGTTGGTGGGAGTGTAAAATGGTGCAACCACTGTGGAAAGCATTGTGGCGCTTT